CGTGAGCGGCCCCGCGACTTCCCGAGTTAACGATACCGCTTTCCCCTAGTCAGCCGGGCTTCAGCGCGCTGCCTGGCGAAGCGCGTTACGCTGCGGCTGCATCGGGAGCTTGGCGGGCGGCGAGTGCGGTAGTGTCTGCCAAAGCTTTTACTGGGCTTTAGGATGCCTGAAGGGACCTTTTTTCCCCCTTAAGGATCCTCCGATGCGTAACAACAGCTGAGCTCTACGCAAGTTTATGGGGAAGTAGGTTTTGTTAACTTGAGGCTTAGGTTAGAGGCGGAGGTCTCTTTTCTTCAGTGAGAGCTATTCGTCCTCCGCCCGCCTGACGAAAGTGTGAGAATTCAGTAGTCGTCAGGTGGGTCCCAGAGGTCTGAAAGTCAGTCAGCACATCTCGGAGGACTCATAAGTGTTCGCATACACACGCTGTATTGCGATTGTGCGATATTTATACATCCTAAGCAAAACGGACAAGCACTACACTTAGTACTATAGTTGTATATGTTTTATTTGATATTGGTCTAACGCTTTAAATCTATGTAGATTGTTTTTTATAACCAACATACTACTATTTTTAAAAAGTTGTCGGAGCAAATCCAGCGGCTTTAGGGATAGTTCTTCAACATCCATGTTAAAGGGAAGATAGTCCTTATATATGTTATTTGAGGACATCTGCGAGGGTGGGCAGCCATCACTGAATTGATTTATAATCTTGTTTTTATGATCACTGGTTTATAGTTTTTATTTGGTTTTGTGATTTGCTTTCCACAATTTTGTGAATTCTTTTAATTAAGGAAAAGGTACAAGTAGTATTTGTGTAAAGTTGCAATTTTGCTGATAAAGTTTTCTGTCTTTTTCTACTTTCATATGTAGGTCAGATTGTTAAATGGGGTGTGCATGGAAATAGTACAAGTAATCTTATTTCAGAATAATGTCACAGGCATGTATGCAAAAAAGCAGAATTCTAGTTCCAACTCTGATGATTCTCTAGAAGCTTAAATTCTGCTTCATACTGCCAGAATGAATGGACTGCAAGAAGGCTAAAGAGGGGTTCAGTGATACATCTAAGGTCATACAATGAGACAAAGATGGGAGGACAGTCCAAGTCCTTGTTCTTGTATCTTGGCTGCAAACTGCCTTTTCTGATTTAAACTGCTCATTTCAGCAGGTATGGGGTTTTTTTGGTTTTTTTTTTTCCATTTGTATTCCATGATATTGGCCTAACATTTTCAATTTGTGCAGGTAACTTAGCCCTCCCTCCCCCCCCGTATGGTTGGTTGGATGGACTTTGATTTTCTAAGCGTTCTATTAAGCATTGGAAAGTAAATAATTCTTTTCAGATGGCCTCCTCTCCCACTTTTCTCATCAAGCATTGTAAAATATTTCAAAAGGAGCAATTGTTTGGTGTTATTATAGGACTATAAATGTATTTTCTGCTTTATAACCAACACATGATCTCTTTCCTGAGAAGCTTACATGCCAAGTCTTTTTTCTTCTGCAGGTTTATGCATGTGCTTAACTTATCAAAATCCTTGTACACTATGGGGCAGTTTACCTATTTGAGACTGATTCTGCAAACCTTGCACATATATGTAATAAAAGATGAGACAAGAGAACATTATTATTATCTGTAGGTACTAGCATGCAAAAAACGTGTCTTTTCTGATATTTTGCTACCTTCATGCCCGTTTCTCTGCAGAGAAATGACCTTTGGAGCTACAAGACTGTACCATTGCCCTTCCCCATCACTGTGGTATCATCTAAAAAGGAAAGATTTTGCAGCAGTTCCATTATCAGCTTAATTATGAGTTTAGCGAGGTCTCTCATACCACCATCTGCCTGTTGATAAAAGTGCCTTCTAACTTCAGAGTCCTTTTCTTCTGTCACAGCAGCTGTGTTTCATAGGCCGTTTTAGCAGCTTTACGTTAAGGTTTTGGGGGTTTGAAGCAGTTTGGCTTCATAGTGACCCAAACTAATATTCAGAACTTCAGTTTGGATTGTTGAAAACAGGACAATTTTTAAAAGTTACTTTCTATTACCTTTTTTTTCTCTGCCCTCCCCCCCTCCAAATTCCGGTGTTTGTGAAAAGCTCTCAAGGCAGAATTCTGTCTGCAGAGCAGTAATGAAACAGATGTGATTCCTGTATGTTGCCTTAACAATGGTTTAGCAGAAGCTGTTCCAGCTTCTTGATTGTGACTGTCAGCAAAGATGGCAGTTGGGTGATTTTAGGGTTGTTAACTTTGGGGCAGTTGTAACCTCCATGAGTTTGGTTTAGATGTGGTTCTTGGACAACTATTAGATAGAAATATTTTTTATCTTTAAGACAAACAGTAATTAACCATTACAGCAAAGCATCATAGGAAACGGTTAATTCTCCATCTCTTATGTCTTCAGAATATATTTTCTTGAAAATATACTGTAATCAACACAATTCTTGAGTGTAGTTCAGGGGTAATTAGATAAATTTAACTTCCCTTATACTTAGAAAGGTCAATGTTGTCTTCCAGCCTTAATCTCCATGAATGAAAACTGTTTCTGATCATTCCCATGAGGGAGTGGTTTGAAGCATACATACAGCATGAGGGTTAAAGGTAATTTTTTTTTTCATCAGTCCCCTGAAGTGCTTTTTTCAACTTTGTTTCCAGAATTAATAATACACATTTTCATGTGTACTGTGAGTGACCCTCTAGTGAGTTGAATATTGTAATCTGAAGCATGACTTCCTTTTGCAATAAAAGGAGTTCAGTTCCATTTGTTTGATCTTTGCTTCTTTAGCTGGTTATTATCTATCTGTCATGGTTTTTCTTTTTCACCCTATTAAAGGTCTACAAATCTAATCATGTGTTTAAAAGATGTTTAGTTCGAAGGCAGTAAGAGATCTTGCAGACCAAATTTGAATTCATCTGTGGAAGTACAATAGTTTTTCTCTCCCAGAAGTGAATAATCATCTTAAATTCACATGAAAGCTTTTTGTGCTACTTGAAATCTTATAGATTAATAAATTCAAAGGTGTCAGTTTCTGCAGTCATGGAAAGATAGCGAAGATGAAATTAATGTCAGGGAAACCCAGGTTCTTTTCCTAGGCCCTGAAATATGGGGGAGACAAGGACCTGCTAGGATTTTTGTCATGGGAGTTATCTTCTGACGGATTTTAAACATCACAGTTCAAAACTTTGCATAATGAAATCCAACTGCTAGGAAAAAATATAAGGATTACCAGGGCGAGTGGTGTTTATCTCAGTTACAGTTCTGTGCTCTCAACCTCCTGGCTGCTGTCAAGATCAGTTTTTGATATGCCACAACCTAGCTTCCATTTCAGATTGTCTTCTTATATAAATAACTCTAGTGCCTGCCTCAGCTGTGACTGTTGCTTTCGTAAGTGGTGTCATTGAAACTTGAACGCCTTCTTCCGGTGTCATCTCAGACATCAGTTCTAAGTGGCAGTAGGAAAACATGACAACATACTGATTAGTTTTTCAATTTGCTGTTCTTTTTCCAGAGCAGAAGTTCCCTGGGCTTAAGAACACTTTTTCTTTTAATGTAGACACTTATCTTTGCAGTGGTAAATTAATGCCAGTTTACTGAAGGTGTCTTAAGTTCCCCACTTTAAAGGAATTTTTTATAATTTCAGACTGGCATTTTCATTAGGCATTTATACATTAACAAGTTTTTTTGGCTTTGGTGAGATTTTCCCCTCAGATTTCTCCAAGGCAGGACTTTTCTGTGTGTATCACAGTAGGTCTTCACTGCAGCTTGGTCTGTTATCCTTGGATAGACGAGCAGAAAGGCAAATGCAAACAGCTAATTTTATGGCTTGAAATAGAGATTACACTTAAATATGTTAGGAGCAGAAATTTAATAAAAAGTTGCAACCTGGTGGCAACTCTTGAAGAAGCCTGGGAATGCCAGGCTAAATGTGCTAACATCCAACACTGTCCTGCTCCCTGGAGGTGGGAAAGATGGGTTATGGGTAAACGCATGTCTGTAGTTTTTACACTGTTCTATGTAAAACTAGATGAATAATGAATTGACATTGCGCTTTTCTATAGTCGTATCTAGAACACTACATAGAGGTAGAAGATGCTTTTTCTGTGTGTGACACTTAAAAGATTTCAGAAGGGAACTAATAAAAATTGAGTTCATGTAATACAAAGATAATGAAACAGGAAGAGATAAATTTAAAACCATCTTTTGCAATATGGAGGAGAAGGCTGTAGGACTATGATTAATGTGGTGAATCATGGGTGATTCCTATTCTAACAGTAGTTTCCTTGATGTAAAATTATGGAAGGTAATTGCCTTGGTATTCCTCTGCTATATATTAAAATTTCTGAAATTTCCTTTTGTTTACCAGTTTGGGAATAGGTTACTATAGAAGCATAGTTGTGTGAATGATTTTATAATTGGTCTCACAAAATGAAGGTTAGAAGGGAAGACCCACATTTTTTTCTGTCTCTTAGGGTAGTTTACCACTTGAACAGCTGTCTTCTGCCGATTTACCTCTAAAACCCCTATATGCTTTAAGAGCATATGCCTTTGTTTAGCAGCTACAAGTTTGAGTTTATCACTTAACAGTTACTGGGTGTCTCCTGGTACTGTGTTACAGTGTATCCCCATCATACTTAAATCCCAGCATTCAATGTTATTTTAGGAGAACTGTGAGTGATTTGTCCCTTGACACCCTCTGTCATCACTTATGCGTACTCTCCATCTCCATCATTTGTTAATGGCAGAGTACTTTCTTTCACTCCTAGAATGGTTAGCTGTAGGTACGTGTAATCTGAGACAAAAAACATGCTTCTGAGCAGTCCTACTGGTGTGCTTTGTCCATGGCCAGGCAGGTCATGAGCTACAAACCTTTTCTTATCCTAAATCAGCTTTTATTTGTTTTTTTCTCCATTCTTAGGGTAAGGAGTAGGAACTGGTGGCTTTATAGATATAATGGTACAATAGGGGACTGGCTGTCCCTCACACTGGAGCTCTTGGAGCCATCAAGCTCTACGTGTTGTGAAGGCACAGATAGTTTAGAGGTGCAGATCACAGGACTGAGGTTAACTTTATGTGGGAGTGGAAAGGTGGAAAACAAGACGAAAAAACTTTGAGATAATCTGTGCCTTTCCCCCTTCCCTTTGGAGGTGGGTCAGGTATTGCTGAGCTGTGTCTGACAGATTTTTGTCAAATTTATTTTTAAAATTCACTCCCCATCAAGGAAAGTTTTCCAATTTCTAGACTATTAATTGATTTCACTGCCTTAATTACAGTTATTAAGGTAACTGTGTAAATACAGTTTATTTCCTTTTCTCAGTACCCTGTGTGTATCTGGAAATAGCTATGTGATTTTCTTTAGTCTTCTCTAAAGGTTTTACTCAAATTTTTGCAATAACAGACTTTGAACTTTACTCTCTTTATGTGATCTCTCTAGCTAGGGATGAGCTAATTACTTTTAATTCAGAGCAGTAACTCAATTCCTTCAGGGCAGGAGAATTTGTTGTAATTATTGGCTGCAGATGTAAACAGTGACTGCCTTGCTTTGGAGAAACTAAGGTGTTACTTGTAATAAATAAACATAATTTGATCTAATTGTTCAGTTTTATCCTTTTTTAGAACTATATTAATTTCATTTTTCTTATAACAATTTAAAACTTTTCTTGTGCCTATTACAACTTCTCTGTGGGTTGTGACCCATGGTTTAACAAATAGTTCTTTAAATCATCTTCTACTCTCCCATTTAGTTCATACCTCTCATGAAATATGATGTGAAAATTGAGAAGTGTGTTCCAGGGCAGACTATAGCAGTATTGAGTAAAACTGTTTTTTTTTCATGTGTGCTTATATTGCCCCTCATATATATACATCGGAGTACTTGTGGCTCTTTATTTTATTGTATTTTTTTTCTCCGATAGTGTTAATGATGGTGTCTCACTGTCAGTTTGTGATCCGGTGTAGTCCCCAGATCCTTTTCTACAGAGCTGCTTTTTAGCTGGTCATTCCCCCTCTTTTAAGTTCAGTTATTTATTTGCCCTAAGCACCATATTTTGTCCCTGTTGAATTGCATCCTATTTGTATTAGAGTCTTTGTCCAGTTTATCAGAATTGCTTTGCCTTCCAGGGTGGGTGCAGCCCCCTCCTGACTTGCTGTTACCTGTGTTCCTAGTGCATGTACTTTATTTTGTCATATACAGGTCATGAATGGAAATTCTGGATTGCACCAAGCTGAGATTCTAAGCCCTCTCTGAAACTCTACTGCAAATATACACCTAGTTTAACTGTAGTAATTATTCATTACATAGTTTTTCTAGCTGTTTTTATACCTGCTCAAAAGGAATTTCATTTGCAATTTACTTTCCTGCTTTATATATGAGAATGCTATGTGACCCAATGACAAAACAGTTACTGCAATTAAGATATTTTTTCCTTTACCCACTAAGCATGTTACCTGGTCAGGGAGGTAAACTTGCTGTTCCTGAGGAGCTGGTGTTGCCCTTTATTTGTGATGTTATTACCTTGTTAAGTTCTTTATTTAAAAAAAAACAACAAACAACAACCAAACCCCATCTGTTTGTACTTGTTCCAGTATTTTTGAATGTTTTGAAGTTGTGTTGACTGACCTATGAATTTCTGGATTTGCCTTTCTCTCCTTTTTAAAGACAAAAAATGTTTCATTTTCCTAGTGTTTTGAAACCTCACCTGCCTTCAGTGAGGCCATTGTGTTGCTTAGGAAACTTAACCTAAAGCATTTAGGGATGAATTTCCTTAGATCTCACAATGTTCAAAATATCTAACTATGTAGTCTATGATATGCATTTTTCCTACTCAAATCTGTTTCTTTTATTGTTGCTACAAATTGTGTTACACATGATTATACTTAGCCTTTTAAATGACAATGCAAGCAAAGAAGATATTAAACACCTTTTCAATATAGTCCATTGTTAGATTTCTGATCTTACCAATTTAGCAAGCCTTCTTTGTAATCTTTATGTTCTTTGCTTTCCTAGCTATATCTCATCTTGTGCCTGGCAATTCTGACTTTTTTTTTAAAATGTAATTTAAACAGAATTCCTACTTGGGCACAGCCTTGTCTCTTCTACACGGAAGATAATGCCAGCAGAGCAGGCTGTGGCATTGCAGGGCTTCACAGCTATTGCCTTGCTTACTGTGGTTTTTGACTCTTTAAATTTGCTTACAAAACTCCTGTTTTGGTGTCCACACTAAAGGTGTTTACTACTAAAGTGAGAAGTTGATTTAGTGAAAAACAATGGCGTAACATACTCTAGTGGTTGTATAGGTAAGTGATGCATATATGTCTTTGCGTAAAATATTAAGAAAGTGTGTTGTCTATGAATATAAGAGGATGCTTTTCAGAACTTCTCTATTAATAATCTACTTTTCATTTTACAGCATACACAGCTCAGGCAGATGAGAAGACAGTCCCTGGTCCTCCTACAGATTCTAATGCCAGAGCCTTATTGGTTTGCAGTGGACCTTTAGAACATTATGACTTTCTGATTAAGCAAGAAGAGCTGAGGAATGATAAGCAACAAAGAATAGTTGTGCAGCACCTGCAGAAGCTGCATGAGAGCCTTAAAGGCTACAGCATCAGTTCAAAAAATCTTCTCTCAAAGGTGAGGTTTATAACGATAGAAATATTTTTTTTTTTATATTTATATTTGCTTATAAGAATGTGCTTAAAAATACATAAATTTCTGTCATTAACACGAGTCTTATTTTTGCAGCTGGGCATTTACAGATAGATCATTGTTTGTGTTTGGATCTCTGTTCTTTCTTTTTTGGTTTGTAAAATTCCAGTGGCACTCTAGAAGCAACCAAATTAAATATTATTGAAATCATGCTCTAAGAAAATCTGATATGATTTTGGTTGTGTCCACTGTCTGCCTTTCCTAAAATGTCATTTGGCTGTAGGAGAGAGGGGCATAGACCAGGTTTTAACTCTCAAGCACTGGTGTAACACGTGTGTGTTTGGGTTACTCATGCTGAATGTTGATGTTTTGTGTTCTAACAGATCTTCCATGAATGTAAGTGAAATTAGCCAGCAGAGTCTAAATAATCCAAGCTAAATAACTTAGCTTTGCAGAACATTATAATATAGATCAGACATGACTTTTTAAAATAAGAAGTCCATTGTCTCCGGTGTTGTTAGTCTCCAGCTGAGGTAAGGAAAGAAGGCAGAGATGTGATCTGCACCCCAGTTGTGTTTTTGGGGGCATTACAGCTCCTTTTCAAAGTATTAACAAAAATTCAGACATATCCCTGTTGCACAGTGCCTTAGCAACCATAGTGCCTTAGCATTAGTAATGCTAAGAGCCTGCTGTTACAGCTCTGTAACTTCCCTGAAGCTGTTGAAGCAGTGTCTTCCAGAGCCTCTGTGACAGTATTTTTCACGTCTTGTTCCCATGCTGTTATTTTCAGATTGTTGCTCTTGTGGCCTTGCACCTGCAAATCTTGATAATGTTATTATGGCAGGTTGTCGTGGGAAGCAACTAGAACTGGTGTGAGAATCCCCCCTCAGCTTTCTGTGCCTCTTGTTTTGTAGATTTGAGTTTATATCCCAGAAAACCAAACATAGCGCCCAGCAAAGTAGATAAGACATTTAATTACTAAGTAAATATTAGGCAATCATAGATGTGCACAGAAGCTGAACAACCAGTGAATATGCTTCATTTGCACCTGATTAACATACTCCAGTCAGCACAAATAGTCATAAACATGGTGAAGGGAAGCAATAAAAATAGGGCATTTGACTGAGTCTGATGATAAAAGTATAGTGCTGGGAAAAAAGCATAGCAAAATATTCATTGCCATCAACATCTTCACTTTCCCTGCCTGCACTGGAGAGGTACCTCCCTACCCCTAAGAGGAGAATGTCTGGAAGCTGTCACTGCTCTTCCCAGCCAGCCTCCGAGTGTTTCTCTTTTTCTTTCTCTTGCACTACTTTTGTTTTTATTTTTTGTCAGAAGTAACTTTCATATTTACAGTCAAGGTATGCTGTCAGTTGCAGACCTTGCTAATAAATCTCCATGTCAGCCTTTCTCAGCATCTGTTATGCAACACACCTCATCTCATGGGCATAAATCTAAATATCTAACTCTATTGAACTTGCTACCTAACCATATACTCCCCGTTACAACCCCAAATTCTCCTATTACCTGGCACAAATACTGTATTTTGTTTGCATGGCAAGCCTAAATGACCAGGGAAGCCAAAACCTACAGGGCTCAAGTGCCTTTAAATGACATGCTGTCCTCTGCCCTTTAGGTACCAAATGACAAGTTACTACTTTAAGGCTCTTGCAATGTATATTAGCTTCAAGGCATGAAAAACATAGAGAAGAGTCGGTGGTATGAAAACAAGTATTATACCTGTAAACAGCCTGTTACGCCTGTAAACGTGCCTGTTTCAAATAGGCAAGTATGGTGGGGTGCAGAGCATTGGGACACGTGCTTGCCTATCAGAATGCCTCCAACATCCGTTGAATGCTTTGAACTCATATATGTAGCTGGAGATCATGCATTTGCTAATCCTGTCCTTGACTGGAAATGCTATAAATGTCTCCCTGCTTCCAGATGAAAGGAAGCAGACTAAATACCTAAGAAGGAGCTCTTTTTTTGTTGAGATACAGTGAGAAGAAACCTGAATGGGAAATAATTCCATGGAGCAGAAGTCAGGCAGGTAAATAATTCCATGGAGCAGAAGTCAGGCAGTCTGGAAGGAAAAATGTAAGAGTGGTAAAGTACAGGAAGTAAGGCAAGACTGCTCCAAGAGGTCAATGAGCGTGTCTTTGGAAGTTCTGTTCTGGAAGCAGTTGACCCGATCATCACTATGGGTCCCTTCCAACTTCCGATATTCTATGACCCAGCTTTAAACAGGGGGTTTGGTCACATGATCCCCTGAAGTCCCTGCCAACCTCAATCATTCAATGATTCTAACTTTGATATGGCAATTGGAGCCAAACAGTTGTTTGGGGTATATTTTTGCCTGCTCTGGCTGGTCAGTCAGCTCATCACATTACTTAGCCTTTTTACTTTTGGTATTTCTTTAATTAAAATTACTAAAAACATAAAACCAGTGTAAAAAATGATATAGTCTGAAAATTGTATGTTTATGGTATTTTTAAACATTTGTATTGTATGTGAGTGCGTGCCTATGGATCCATGTTGCCTTGATGCCTTTGTAGGGTAACTCTTGAGTCTGAACAAACCTCCTGATTCAATTTGGTCAAGTATCAAATAAAAAATAGAAATTCCCTCTTTCAAAAATGGTTATTGCTTATCTTTGGTATCCAAAGCAATATGGCAGTGTGCCTGAATGAGAGAGCTGTTTTTGCGTAAGTGTAAGGAGATCGAGCTGGATTCATCTTGCCAAACTACTTCTCTAAGTGTAATCGAGCAGGCCAGAGTTTTGTATCTTGAGGATGCTCAATGTGAAAAGTTTGTTTTTTCATCTGTCTGGGCTTCTTTTTCAGCTTTGGTATTGGGCTTGTAATCTTTTAAATTACCAGTCACAAAATTGTCTTTAGACACTGTACCTGGGCTGTAAAAGAGGAAGTCACTCAAAAGGAAGCCAGTTACCTGGCTTGCTCCTGCATTATCTTTGGACATACTGCCATTCTTTTATTTGTTTTCGTTCTTTAGAAAAAATGTTATGATAAAGGTGTTGGTCTTACTGTCAAACCCGAGGATCAGTAGGCTACAGCGTTTTGATCTTTTCTGGTAAACTGTTTTGGGCATTTGGATATTCAGTTCTAAAAGTGCTGCCTTTGAGAATAGTTTTGAGACCCGACTTGTGTTAACTGGTGTGCCCTGCATCATTATAGTTGTTAGAGCAGGTGTCTTGTAATGGCTTTGTAGATCAAGCATTATGTGGGTTTGTTATTTACTGTTTCTTTGATTGGGAAGCATGAATAGGGAAGAAAGTCTCTATTGCAGAGAACAAATACTAATCTTATTCTATTTAGGAAATTGTGATGCTACTTTGTCCCTGTATAACAGAGCTAATCGCAGTAAAGCCAGCCTGACTGACGCTTTCTTAGAAGGAAAAAGTCAAATGCCATTTTTTAGGTTGAGAACATGGTTTTCACTAGTTCATTTAAAGCACTCCTCTCTTTCATTTAACATTACTTCAATTCCATGCTTTAATTTTAAACCAGCTTTTAAAAATCATTGCATGGCTCGCTGATACCTGGGAACTAATGCCACAGTCAGTGAGAAGCAGCTCTAGAACTATTTGCTATTGGGATAAGTGTTGCAGTTTGAGGTTTTTCTTCTAGGGCTTTGTATCTCTGTGGAAATCTTAAGAAGATTGATAACCAGGTTGAGCACTATAGTGCCGTACATCAAAACCAGAAAAGGAGGAGAGCAGTGAGTTTTGTGTAAATCTGTTAAAGCCTGCTAGCTTGTGTAATTAAATCAAATCATACCACGATTTACAACAGAGGAGAAGTCAAAACAATTTTGTTTCTCTTCTGCTCTCTTTGAGGAAATTATTTGCCAGTTCAGACAGAGCTCCTTTTGAGGTAAAATGAAGCCAAATAAAATATGGTTTAAATTCTAGTGCAGGCCAGGTTTTGCTTCAGCAAAGTTGTAGTCAACTTCCTTAATGAAGGTTTTCCCCAGAATAAGAGTCACAGCTGTGAATAGGTAGTTGGTAAAATCATAGCCATCAAGTACTGTACTACCTGTAGACACTGGTATCATATGCTTGTCATATGTCTGCATCTCTCAAGGAGTTTTCTAAGTAAGGAACATACATGTTTGTTATGATGGATTTTCAGGGCAGGGATGCTGTTGCAAACTTGGTTCCGTTTTGAAGAGTAGAACTAAGGCTTTTCGTGCCAAGAAGAGGTGGTGAATACTGTTCTCTGGAATTGGCCTGGGTTGAATAGGATTTGTGTAGGCTTATGAGTGGAAGTAGTTCACGTAACTAGTAGAAGATGTCTTCAGGAAGTACTAATGATATAGGGTACAGGTAAATCCTGTATTCATGAATAGCTCACTGGCATTTTCCTCCCATGAAGGCCTGGTACTTTGTAACTGAGTATGCTAGGAAGTAAAAGATAAACTTTATGCTATAGATGTTCAATTGTTTTTACGATAAAACGATTGGCATGGGTTTTGCTTTGTTTTGTACTTAATGGGTTTTAATACATGTAAATGAAACAAAATTATGTATTTTAAATTACTTAAGGACTTGTTGGAAAGAAGTCAAACACTTCAATCAGTTACGCATAGTAGTTTGTAGATTGACTTTTTGCTTTTTCAGGAGGTTTCTAGCACCTTGACTAACCTACTTGTAGTATGAAATCTCCTGCATTGAAAAGAATGTACTGGCAGCTTTTTAGAAATAAAAAGTAGTGGTGCCTGGCATTTCAAGCATGCTCATTTTTCCTGGCTCTGTCATTGAAGATAATGTGTTTGGGAGGTTGCAGTGAAGAAAAGCGAGAAGAGAGAGAGAAGCCTGTCTCTGTCAGCCTCTTCTGTAGTCTGATATCCCTTATTTTATTGCTTGATTTCTTCTGTGGTAGAATTGCAGAAGCCTCTTCTAAAATAACAGTTATTCCAGAAACAAAAAAACTTCTTGCACTTCTGAACCATTACAATGGTCTGCTTTGTTTTTAGTTTTGTTCTTCATTTGTCACTTTTTATCTAAATAGTTTTATTCACTAAAAATATGGTAAAAGTAGGATTAGGGAACAAATATTTCTATCAGATACAATACAAGCATTTCAGTGTCTATCCAAGAGACTTGCATTACCTTACAGGCCGTAGCTTTCTCACATCGGTAGTCTGGGGTGAGACACACACCACCAGCCATTTCCTTTATGATAATAAAACTCTGTTTTGTTTTTTTTTTACAATGTAGGTTTTTTGGGGCATCAGCTTAGAATGAATTTGAAGGGAAAAAAATTAGTCTTGCTGCAAACCAAGTAGGCTTCTGTTTTTCAAAATTATTACTCAAATTTGAACAAGGACTTTGATCTTCAACTTGGTGAAAGCATGGCCTTGTACGTTGAGATATTTTGAGATCCTCTCAAATGAAGTTCAAGGCCGTAAGAGTTTGCATAGATGTTTCAGATCTCTAGATTTTCAAAATAATACCAATTGGGACATCTTAAGTGTTGTTGAGTTGCTGTACTAATGACTTGAAATAAGCTCAATTATAAGTGAGGTCATGTTTTGAAAAGAGGTATGAACAATAGTAAACACCATTCAAGACCTTGAAAATGTCTTCAGTTACAACAGCAACCAAAAAGGAGGCCTGAAACAGTGAGAGAAAGAGGCAGTTTTGTTAGTATTTAAAAAAAACCCAGAATGTCTGCTGTTTGGAGACTTGTCTCTTGAGTTCTGCATATTTTAATTAACGACCTTAGTATTGACATGCATTTTCACTTACAAGTTTTTCAAATCAGAGTGTAAATATTCCCAGGAAATTATTTGCTTGCTTCTGGTGTCTGAGGTGGGGAATGTGGGAGAAGGTGGGAAGACGTTGCACATTATTAAAGACATTTAAGAAAGAATAGGAAGTTGTCAGAATGAAGGAGATATTTTGACCGATATAATTCCTTAGATGAGGTAGGATATTGATTGATTAAAGTGCAATTTAAACAAAAAAAGAAAAATCTGATGCAAAGCAAGGCATGCAGTTTTGAAACAGGAATGTGTAAAACATTTTGATGGTAGAGGAGAGAATTCTGTAAGTCTGGGCATGCTAATGTGTGTGTCCTGTTGTGGAATTGTAAATATTTTAGCATATGAATGATTTTCAAAGAAAAATCTGTAAGTCATCTCATCTATAAAAGGAAAAACGGCTCCTGCTGTAGCATGTCCTGATGATAATGAAACTTGGTGAAGCGCTTAAATTATGCTTTCTTAAGTTATTGCAAAGAATGTTATGGGAATTAAGAAACTTGGAGGACTCAAGGGGTTTGACACATTTGTGGTGATGCCCTTGTTTGAAAGGATGTGGTGAGTGTTCAAAACATACGTCTAAGGATTTCAAAATTCTCCCCTTCAAACTGAGACTTTGTGCATCCCTTAAAGTTTTTGGGTTTGTACATTTTAAATATTAGCTTTAACATCCTTAAATCTTATCATTGTTGCAAAAGGAAATTTATTGTCAACCAATTGAACATCATTATACTGAGACCCCAAATATGCCTCAGAATAATATAGAAGTGAGGAGAAGCACATTTCTTTAGTTTGTCTTCCTACATCTCCCACTTTTTTCCCTTTCCTCCTTGAAATAAACAAGACTACTCTTATTTTAGGGTCACTGCAGGATCTTCTGCATTAGATCTCTCCCCCTCCTTCTGTGGAGTGTGTATTTCAATAGGACCAAGATCGGTCTTCTGCTTTCTTTGCCCCCACATACCACTGACTTTCTTGACTGCTTGCTGTGCTCTAAGTTGAACAAACAGCATTGATTGGATTTTATCAGAAATCCTAGTGGAAGTTACTCTTTTTCTTACGCAACTAGCAGGCTTCAGAAGATGAGTGAGAATAATTTAAAAAAAAAAAAAAAATCCATTTTATTATCATGCAGAATAGCTTGAGAATGGTAGGATATCTGAGGTTCAGTATTAAAAGTCCACTGATCAAGTTTCCTTTTTTAAAGTAAAATACATGTTAAAAAAAACCCAACCCAAGAATTTAAAAATAAATTCTTAGTGTTGTACAATACCTGACAGGATTGTGGAAGCAAGTATCCTAAAAGTGTCAATAATGACACTTCTGGCAGAAGTATATGTAAAATATTTCCTACAAACTTCTTTAACTGCTCAAAGAGCATAAGAGTTTTTTTGGCATTCAGTTTGCTTTTAGAGATGGTCAGCTTCAGCAGTATCCATCCATATTTTTTTTTTTTTTAGCAATTAGATATCATTCAAAAATTGCTGTCTTCACAGAAAAACTTAATTGCATTTTTTAAATCAACTGGAAGTTGATTTAGACTTCTGTGGAGCCCAAGTCATTATATTTGTTTCCATTAGCCAAAAAAACCTTTTTCTGTAACATGTTTTCTAGAAGTGGTAAGTACTGGAGTGAGAATAAAATATGCCTAAAAAGACAAGCTTCAAGATGGTTAAACGTAATTAATAAACACTTTACAATGAAAAAAATGGTATAAAATGTAGGTGTTACTAGTTGTTCTGGTTATATAACCTTTATGAAGACAGATAAAGCAGTACTCTAAACATTGATTTGTTTTTCTAGCTTTGTGTCATTCCTCATGAAACTGCAAATCACATTAATGCTGCCTTTTTATGTAATAAATTTAATGTAGTCTTTTATCTTGTTAAAATGACTGTTGTTAATCTCAAATTAAAGATGAAATTCTTATGAATGTCTCTCATTTGGGTTTTTTTCCATTTCTCCTTTCTTCACTGTGTAACTTTGAGCATCAGTAATTTTAATGAGTACAAGCTCTTAAAAAGTACACAGTGAAAAATGTTTGTCAATTAAATTGTCTTGCAATGCTTTCAAAGCACTAGCAAATACTTGCAGCCTTGTCTATTAATGGAATGGTTTCAGAACATCTGAAACCCCGTTCAGCCACAGATTGATGATACAAATTTTTGATTATCCTATTAATATAGCTCTAAATTAAATCTATAAGTGGGTCTTATATAGGCTATGCTTGCATATTTTCTGAATGAACTGATACTATAGGACCTGAGACATTCTCTTTCTGCCTTCTGGTCATATATTTTCTTTAATTAGTGTTTTGCTGCTGACTCCCACATTTCTTTAACATGGCACTGTATTTTGAAAAGTGCTTTAGATTCAAGTTGTTTAGCAATTACCCAGCTCCAAATGAGACCACAGGGTTGCAGCTTTAATTTTCTTCTGTTTTGGCTCAGCTCATAGAACTCGGCAAGTGGAGCACTTGAAAATAACCAAATACTCTTCTGCAGTGTTTTTGTGGATGTCAATTCAGTTTCATGGATTTGATGAGGATTTTGTTAAGGTTTCCATTTTTTTAGAAACTCTTTCTTTTTAGAATTATACTTGGAAGTGGCTATACACAATTCTGAGTGGGGAGGACTGTTTCAAATTGAAAGTCTTGATGTTATTGCAGGTTTTTCCATAAAAATGTGTATTTGAGTAAAACAGAATAAACCATCAGGTGTCATAACATATGTCCTGAGTAATATTAAGAGATTAAAAATTCTTAAGCAGTATTCATTCAAGATAAACATAACTCACTTGAGAAAATTATTAATAGAAGGCATACTTTGAAAATAACCTTTTATATATATGTATATGTGTACACACACATGCATGTGTACATAGGTACATATTTTTGCTGTGACTCCATTGATTTTAATCATGTTTAAAACCAGATGATTCTGCATTTAAGATTCAGAGTGGAGAGAAAGGGGACCTACAATACTCACTGGCTTTGCAATAGTGATTTTCTAAATCCTGATGTTTTATATCTTAAGCAGAGCTGCTTTAATAGGTATATAGTGCATATGTCTATGAATACTACAATTCTGATTAATTTTATATACTTTTTCCTAGGACTGTTTGTTCAAATGGCTTAGTGAGGAAAAGGATTTGTTTTGATGATGATGGATTGGGAAACATTTAATCATTTTATATGTGTTCTGGTAAAAAGGCCTGTGTGCCAGGACTGGGAATGGGGATACTTTCACAATGATCTAAAAAAACACCAACTCAAACCCTGCATGTGTGCTTGGACTCTTTTATAGAATTCGCACAAATACCATGTTAAGATTGCTTACCAATTCTCAGCTAATGATTTATTCGAGGTTAGACTTTGCTAGCTAGTGCTACTTCGGTGGTTAAGTGTAGCTACTTTCTTACTTTACCACAGCAATGTGCTTGCTTTTATTTTACCCCATATTTGTATTTATTCCTTTTCTCTTGATTTGCAGCTCTTTGCAAAAAACAAACCCCCAAAAGGTCTTTATGTCTATGGAGATGTTGGTAAGTTTCAGTTGCATCAATTTAAATGGAATTTTCTCTAAATGCAGGTTTATTAAAATTCTGAAGTGTCTAAAAGCTTTATGTTTATGTAGCATTATTGCTTTAATGAATTTCCAGGATTAGTTTTCTTCCACGTTTTGATGTTATGTAATACAATTATACTTTGAATTCTGGAAGCTGTTGGATTGGACTACATTACCATGTGTAGTTTTTTCAATGTTACCCACTCACTAATATTTGAGAATGCAATTTAAGAATTTGGGAAGTAATTGAGGGGGCCACAGAGGGAATTTATATATTCTAATTGCAACAATGTGGCATGAAAACATACTCACTTTCAAAAGGAAATACTAAGGATGTTTTCTGGATGCATATAGAGCCATTTCTGCAACCTTTGGGCCATGTCTGTATGAATCAAAATTTTAAAATAGAAAAATAAAAATGCAGTTGTTCCAAGTTTTTGAACAGAAAATATAACTGATCTTCACAAACAGTCTGGTCTTGTACTTATTTTGTAGAAGAGTATAGTTTCTTTAGTTCAAAGCTAATGAAAAATCATTATTGTAATCAGTACGTACTGTTCTTAAATTAACTACCTGTTGGGTGGTTTTTTTGTTTTTTTTATCTGAAGGCACAGGAAAAACAATGGTGATGGACATGTTCTATTCTCACTTAGAAGTAGAAAGGAAAAAGAGAGTCCATTTTCATGGCTTCATGCTAGATGTACACCAGAGTAAGTGCAGACGCAGGTATTTACAAGAATTTTATGAAATATGGTATCTATAAAAAAGTCTGTCTCATTCTCGTATTCATATTAATCAGCGTAACTGTAAGTATTTAAGCAAAAAATGTAAAAAATAGGAGAGAAGTTAAAGGATTTTAGCATTGTCTGTCATACCAGAGTAGATATTAATTGCATATTATTTCTCAAGTATCTTTTCTGAAAGATTCTGTATACCTGATTATATAGAAAACTTAGGTGTATATTTAGGATTAAATCCTTATCTGTTTTCCAGTTACCAATTAGCTTATATGCAATCTGAAGAAGGCAATTGCTGAAATTGAAAGAGTAAAGGTTAAATTCAATCTGTATTTTGAATAAGCAATAACTAAATCAGGTATAAATACCAAGGAGAATGAGAACTGTTCTGGTTGACAAACTTAGTAATACTATCAGCAATTTAGAGGAAAAAATAATAGAAGGAAGCTCATCCTAACTTTCAGAAAATTTTCTGACAGGGTGAATAATGCACTTTGTTTTGACAGATACTGTTTTACATATTTTAAAACTTGCTTCTGTTTCTAAATTCTATGACCTTAAAATACTGTGAAATTGTTAAATAATGCTGTAATTTACAAGCATTGTGACACCTGCATTTTTCTTGGGAAGCTTTCATCGGTGTAGACAACTTCTGCCACTTTCAGTGCCCTCTCTTCTATCATTGTTGGGTCACTGTTGAGATTTTCTGTTTCCATTTCTTGTCATTTGTGCTTAATCTTAACAAAGGTAGCTTCTTACTGAGGATCTTTGTTTTCTGAATGTTTGTTTAGTCAGATGGAATACAATCTATGAGACAGTAAATTATGAATGTAATAATCTTACTTTGTACCAGTACCATCATCTTTACATTTAAAAATATAACTGTGTTGCTATGTCTGAGTTCTTTTAACTAAATGCATTCTAAGCATGCCTTCAGAGGATGCAATGCACAGAGCCGTGTCATTGATTTGTAAACATCATAAGGGTTTTTCATACTCAGAGATAAGATTAAGACAGAAAATGCCAAATTACAAAGTGAAACTGAAACTAAGATCATGAATTGGAGCAAGAGAAAACTGTAATTTTTATCAGTTTTTAAAAGATAAAGTATAGGTGTGTAGCTTTCAAGGGTTCTTTGATTTTTGTTTTACATATTTCTAAACAAGAAAATATGAATCGCAGAATCCTGAGCTTTTAATGGTTGCCTGGATGTGGTTGAAAATTGTTTTGCCCTCTTGAAATTGGACTAAATTGGAAGCTTTCTTATTTTTACTGGACTGGGTTACTTTTTATTTGGTAGCTAAATAATTTTGTTCTCCGTGTCTTAGAAAAAGCAATAAGAAACATTTGTTCTTTTCTGTTTTATCAACTGAGGAATACATCGACTTAAGCAGAGCTTGCCAAAAAGAAAGGCAGGATTTATGGCCAAATCATATGACCCAATTGCACCAGTAGCAGAGGAAATAAGCGAAGAGGCTGCTCTCTTATGTTTTGATGAATTTCAGGTAAGAAGTCAGAGATTACTGCTGCACTTCAAGGGAAACATCATAAAATTACTTTTGATCTTAAAATATGACACTTGTTACTGCCAATATAGTGTTTGAATCACTGGCCAGTAGTGAACTATAGAAGTTGAAGTGTAGAAGTCATTTCACAGTTTTGAAGATGGTGTTTGTTTTCTTTTTCCAGGAGATAAGATGCAAGTTGGGGGTGTAAGTCCCCTTGTAGTGCTTTCATTTACCAGTCTGGTTACTGGTCATACAAGGGGGTATTGGAGTTGGTGACAGGCTTATGAGTACTTCAGGGGAGGGACCACCATCCTGTACTGAGTCTGTCCAGTGCCCAGGAGAGTAGCTGTCTGATGCTTGGCATGCCTGATCTTTGCTGTAGTTCCTGTAAGGCAACAAAAGCATCTCAGTGTGATTAAGAAAGTGGAAATAACTTGTCAAATTCAACCTAAATTCTTTCCTGAAGTTATTGGAGCCTTTGGCATGTCAGTGCCAGATTATATCAACATAACTAATATTTTAAGAAACCTTTATTGAATTGAGTGTGAAAATTAAAAATAAACTCATAAAATGATCATTGCCCAAGCTAACTTGGTTGTTTCATTTGTTTTACACAGCTTGTGAATTTTGTTTTAAGGGCACGTCACAAATTTAAGTGTAGAATTGCTTTATAAAAATTTTTAGGAGAGAGGCTAGAGGTATTTGGCAGCTTTAATCAGCTGAGATTTTTATAATTCAGAGAGAAAATGCAGAACAAGTTAAGAACAGATCTGTGTTAGTTCTCAAATCACCAATAGTAAAAGAATTGTCTATTAACTGTAAATTGTCTGTGTTATGCTCTTTAATACATTACTGAAATGGATAGAGCAATTTATATCTCTTGCTATTATTTTACAAGCCTGTGCACCTGAGAAAATAACTGGTTTATGATCAGCTCCCATGAAGGGGATTTTTGTAGCTGTAAAGTAGTAGTGTTCTTGTTTTAAGTTACTCTTGCATTTTTTGACAAGGGGGAGTCCTTTGATCCATGGTTTCAGAATGGGTGGGGTCATTGCAATTGCTGCTGTTTGATCATTTTAATTGTGCTTTATCTAGTGAATATGAATGCTGGGCTTCGAAAACTTGCAGTGTAAAACCTAAATACAGAGACAGTTATATTTACACTATGAAGAAATGGGAAGGTTTGGAGAGGGCAGGGAGGAGCGTTAACTGTCATGACATCAAATGCTCAAATGGTAGAAAGAGCCATCTTTGTTGTACCATATATTAGTGTAAAAACCTGCTTTTCTGTGTGAATGCCCACTGCTTTCATATCCTGGTGGTGCTGTTCCCAGACTGTCATGTTTGCACATTTTAAGGGGAGAGACTGGTATTTCTTGTTTCCAAATTGATAGGCTGCTCCCCCTGCTGACTTGCTTGAAGTACATCAGTCACTTCAGTTGTAAAAATCACCTGTGTTTTTGACGGTGGGTCACAGTTGGGAAAGTAATACAAGAATTATACTTTAAACTGTGTTTCTAAGACTTTGCATTCTTATGTGAATTTTAAAATTCTACCTGTTCTGGGTGTACTAATACTCTAAATTCACAGATTTTTGAATAGCTGGATTTCTTGACTGATTTTCTGTAGCATGGAACATTATGCAGGCTTTGGCTACTGAAGAGGAGTCCCAGCTTTCTGAAATTTTGCAGAAGGCACTGAATTTGGGATAAGAAACCTTCTGCTTAAATAGTCATGAAGTAGTGCAGTGACTGGAAGAGCAGCTCACATGGTGACACAATTAACATTGATAATAAAGAGCCATCTCTGTTTGAGGATGTTTGCAGCTCTTTTCCCTAGTGGATATAATGGCTTGATTTCACTGCAATCTGATTCACTCATATTTAAAGAATTGCTAGATTAAAATGAAACTGGAAAAAGCTGGGGCCTCAGAACATAAACTGGTCTGACTTGCAGACAAAGCTAGTGTCTGTTTTGACAGATGGAAAGTCAAGTTGGGTCTATACTACTTTGGCAAAATATTTGTGTGTGGAGGAAATACCAGAAAAGTATTGAGATTTGCTTGAAACACTTCGGGTTGCTTACAAATACCTGTTGGAAAAAAAGGAGAATAAGCTGAATTTATTTATTTATCTTAAGATCAGACACATAGACGAATGATAGAGTAACAGCAAAAAGTAACATTAATGCTCATATTTCAGAGGAAACCAAATGCAGAACTTCAAAAGATAAAAGCATTGCTGAGGTTGCACATTCCTCTGACAGTGGGCTAAAGCACAACAGAAGTACTCTGTCTGAAGTGAATCTTGTTGCAAAGCCTAGAGAACTGTTGAACTAGTGGAGAGTAGACTAATTGATGTAGAAAAATATTTCAGTACTTTTAAAGTAGTTTTGTGTGTTCCAAAATATTGTTGTATTAAAAAAAATTAAAAATTACTGTGTCTTAAATGTTTCTTTTTGCAAATACTGTGTGATAGCCAGGACCTTAGTGATGGTGCTAAGCTTCGGAGTTTGTCCCTTCTGAAGCAGGTGCTTCATCAGCATTTGCCTGAGCCACAGGCTCTTGGGTTATTAAAGCATTGCTACTTCTTCCTGATCTTTGTCATACAGTTTACTGTAAATATTAAAGCCTTTTTTTTTTTTTAATTTCACAAAAGTCTTAACCCAATCTAAAAGTGTCCTCATTTTGAAGAAAAACCCTAGAATTAAGCCATTTGTAATTATAATTTTGATGTTTCAGAACACAGAAGCTGGCCAATAAGGGCCTAGTTATTGTTTAGTGATCAAATAACTATACACAGGTAATTAGAAGCTCTAATTCTGGTGTGTGACTGTAACCTATGTTAGTTAGTATCAATAATGAAAACAGAATCCCTATTTCTTGGTAAGCTGAATGATCATACAGTGTTAGGCTTTATATACCATCAGTACCACTTGGACTTAAAGGAAACTACAATTTAGGGAGTTTTTACTAACCTGCATGCTATTAAAAGCCTCTAATAAAAATTAGGCTCTTATTTTTGTGCTAATACTAATTGCTGATAATACATGCTTATGTTTGTCATTCATTAGGTGGAACTGTACCAATCAGTGGCTGACTGAGTCTCAGGCACTTACACATGTAAATTAACTATTAGCCTAGTGTTTTTTCTTTTTTCCTTTTTTTTTTTTTTACGTGAGTCATAATGCAAAACAGCACTAGGTCATAAAAATCTTTTCTCTTAAATGCTAATGAAATTTCTCCATTTTCTCCATTAGCAGGCTCTACTTATTGGTAATTTGTAGCCTTTGCTTTTGTTCTCTGTTGCAATGAATACTGGAGACAGTAAAAACCATGAGAAATGACAATGCTTTAGTTACTGTCTTCTACCTGCTTTACCTTGTAGAAATTTTCTGTCTTTCCCAAGCTGTATTAGATAAAAAGAGTTCATATTTGCATCCCAGTTCTCAAAATGGTTCTCTTGCTTTTTGACAGAACTTTCGAGAGGGGTTTTTTTCGTAATGGAGTTGAAAACATCAGAATTTTGCATCAAATAACAATTCTCAATAACAAGAGAACGTTATTGTGTTAGTTTGTGAGCATTAATATTCTTTCCCTCCCTGTTTTCTAAAGGTAGCATGCTTTGTATTTTTAAATAAATCATTTTGTTACAAACTTTTTTTATATAATAAATTTTTTTAAAACTTTGCTATTGCGTTTGCTTTGTTGTACAAGAAATTCAGTTACCCCTATAATGCACATATATACTGATTCCTTGTGTGTCTTTTTTATTAGGAACGGGGGAAGTTCCTAAATTCTAGTATTCAAAAGAGATGAATTATTGATAGGTGGGTGCATAAGCAGATATATTAGACATGTAGTACAATAGTGAATTACTACATGCTTTTTGGAATACTGGATCTTAGTGATCAGAGATACGCAAATCTGAGGGGTGTGTTACTGATTGTATAAAAGTTTGTTTTTGAAAAAGGAAAAAAAAAATCCATATTAATGCATTCCATAGAACTTATTAGAAGAAATTTTTGGAAGAAGGAAACTGGTGTTTACATGTGGTTCCTTATGAACACTATTGCTTCTAAAATAGCTGTCAGAAATGTAACCTAAGTTTTTTTTACTGTCTCTTGTGTTGAATTAAATTTTTTTGCTGCCCAGAAAGGTCATTTAGAAATGGGGGAATGATGGAGGGTGGGGTGGAGGACTGGTGGAGTAGGGAAAAAAATTATACTGGTTAAAGTCTTTCTGTAGATGTATTACTATCAGAACATACACATCTAAACTGGTGAAAGCATAGCAATCTGTTGTGTAATGAGTGTGTACAACTCTCAGCATGCCACCACTTTTTTATTTCCTCAGAATTGGGGTCTGTTTTGATAAGTCAAAATGCAACAAGTGTCTACATAATAATCAAAGGGAATGTAGGAGAAACAAGTGTAATGATAATAAAGATGGTTTACTTATTAAGGTTGCTGATCTCAGCTGGTGAACTCCTGTAAAATATAAATTGCTGTTGTAACAATGGGCTTTTTTCAGAAAAATCTATTACATTTTTTTCATTTGTACAGGGTGGTTTCTGTGTCCCTTTTATTTCTTGGTACTGTAAAGCAAGTTCGTTAAACTAAATATTTAAAGAAATTTTACTTTATGGCTTATTTTTTAGGTTTTTTTGTTGTTGTTTTTTTTCTTCCCCAGTATCACTTGTCCCACCCATTTTTATTTTTTATTCGTGTTTTGTGCCTGAAGGTTAGAAGAGGCTGACTGTGCTGGAAGTGACTGCGTGCCTTTTGATTATTCATGGACAGTAATAGAAGGCACTTAAAAAGAACAATGAAATTGCTTATTTTTGTGATGGGCCATCTGTTGAATTGTTTTTTGCAACAATCACACAATAGTATCTATGTCATATCATTCTATTTTCAACAGCAGCTGATTATGTATATAGTTGGCTACTTGTCTTTATTTCTGAAGTCCCACGACCATTTAAATTCACCTCTGCAAACCTTTGCCTCAAAGGTAATAGAAATGTAAAACAGCCGGTGTGTATTTTCTTTCTGTCTTTTCATGTTTTTTCTGTTTTTTTCATGCTGTTTCTAATTAATTAGGCCTCTTAAATGTTTAGGTCTGTTTTCTGTGTCTCCCACCTGTAGTTTTATAATAGAAGTTAACATGGAATCATTTAGCAATCGGTAAAGAAATGATGGAGTTCCGCAATAAAGAGCGGGCAAGTTTTGAAAGACTGTGGTACATTCACTGCTTATTAATTATCCCTTTTATTTTTTCTCACCAAGCAATAATTAGAATCTTTCTCCATGGCTTTCACTAACAAGCATTTTTCCTAGCTACAAAGCCACTTGCGGATCTATTGCGGCGGAAGCTGAAAGCAAGATAAAACAAATGTGTTGTCTTCTACAGGTCACTGACATTGCTGATGCCATGATTCTGAAGCAGCTTTTTGAAAATCTTTTCCAAAATGGGGTTGTCGTTGTGGCAACATCTAACAGGCCGCCAGAAGGTAAAAACAAACATGCTACTAGTAGTATCCTAATACAATGAATCTCAGTATCTTACAAAACAATTGTATTAAAATCATACAGTATTTAATACTACAAAACTCCAAGAATCTGAGATGTTCCGATTTGTCCTGCTTTTTTGTGTTCTTAAGGAAGAAAGGTTTTTCACTAAGTCTTACTGCTCCCTTCTCTCAAACTCAGGGTGTTGCTCCCCCCCCCTCCTGTGTTTTCTGATCTTCTCTATTCTGTCCAAGCCAGTGGGAGGGTATCTGGGGACAGGGGAGTTGAGGAGGAGTGAAATATTTCCTCTGTTTTGGATGTATTCAAGGATAGGAAAATATCATATTCTGCAGAAGAGAGGGGAAATGAGATTATATTCCTTCCTGGTTTCTAACTCGGAAACTTGCAGACGTGATCCACCAGCTCAAAGGAGAGCCCCTTATCAAGATGCCATTCTCACAGCCCGGATTGAGGTCACTCATTGGGAATTACTTAGGTGGAGAGTTGTTTCTATTTCTAACACTATTTGTGGATAAAGGGTGTTTAGCTAGGTAGGTCCTTCTACAAAGTCCCCAAATCTGTATGGGTTTTAACCAAGCAGTAATTTTAATTTTTTGCAGAGGAGAAAAATGTTTGTTGTACTGTAGCATTAGCAGTTAGCGTAATGCATGCTTTCTGTGCAACTTTTATGACACTTCAGATTAATTTCAGATGTTTGCAAAAAATACTGAAGAGTTACAGTATTAACTACCAGTTAATTTTTCTACCCAAATTGATTGAGTAAAAGGGAATCACTAAAGATTTACAATGCACTTCATGTTAAAAAAAAAAAAAAAAAGGGAAGAAAACACTCAAATGTTTTTATTAGAGGGGGAAATAATTTCCCATTGGTTTATTTTCCTTGTTTGAGCAAACAAGATGAAATCATAACTGCTGTAGTTGGGTTGACTACAGATAAACTGGACACTAGTTCCTCACTCAGTTGGGAACCATCCTTGTGTTTTTTGAAGTGCTACTCCTTAAAGTTCAGGAGAGATTTTTACTGTGACTTGGGGATTGTATCCCACATCTTAAATTGAGCTGTCAGTTTGTGACCATTATCATTGTATAGGGTTTTTAATACATATTAAGTCACTGTGTCAACTTGAAAGACATCCACTTGTGCTAGCTACCCAACAGAGGATGTCAAGAATAGTGTCTCCAGAACTGAGCTGTGTTGCAGTCCAGGTGTTGGTCAATGCCTGTCTCTTCTTCCCTTCTCACTACTCCTGCGTGCTCATGGTGTGTGTCTGAAATCCTCCCACAGGAAAGAGAGTTTGGTTAGCATACTATGCTGCATCAGGGTTTAAGACTGAATTGAGAGATTTGTTTCTTGTGGATGCAAAGGGTAAAAGTAGCTTTTTCATTAGAGAGCAGATATACCCAGCTGCTGACTATTAGTGATACTCTTAACCATGTTAAACTTCTGCCCCAGAGGAATATAAAGGAAAATACTCAGGTGCAGTGTTTGAGGAATGTGGGCTTCATTTCTCCACCAAAATTACTGTTTATTTTTCTCATCCTCACAAAACAGAGACATAATACAAAACTCACAGCCTTATTAACTAGAAGAACTAACAGAAGTAGCTGTTTTATAGTACTGTTACATGTTCATTAATTTTTGCAAGTAAATATGCAGCTGGCTGCTGTTTTAACAAGTGTATAGCTATCATGATTTGCAGAGTTATGAATGAGAATGATACATGGCTTCATATAGCTTTGTTAGAGTGCAGAATCACCTTCACTGGTAATTTTCCTAAACGTTTCAGTGTATGTATCCAATTTTGTGAAAACCATTTTGTAGGTGTCCTGTTGGTTTCTCTTGCATACTGAATCTTCTGGTTTGTCATGCATACTGGATCTTCTGTCCACCATGACATGTTGGCAGAGCACCCATCAGGCATTATGCAGAATATAGGTAGTATTAATAGCCTGACATGGTCTTTGCCAGGAATTTTGGTGACCTATCTGCCAGGTGTCTGTATTCTTTTATTTATTCCTCCTGTCAGTCATAGGTGCTGCACTGCCCTTTTATAAGGCTTCCTAATATTAATGAAAAAGAGCAGCCCGTTGTACTGTTTAAGTGATAACATTTTCAATGAACAAGTCATTCTGTTATGAACATGTTGGGCAGTTGGATAGTTTCCAGAGAAGAGAACTCTATGCTGTATAAAATACAGAGATAAATACAGAAAATGCTGCTTTGCAGTTTGTTTTTATAATTTTCTTTTTGTTGAGTGCAGATTTGCATTTTGTTACATAACATTCTAATTTTTTTTTAAAAATTCTGTTGTATTTTTAGCAGCTTTGCATAAGTTTACATATTCATTTAATTTATTCCCCCCCGTAGGGATGACCCCTTTTTTTTTTTTTCCTTTGGAAAAGGGAGTGTGCCTGGTAGAATTGCTAGAAGATAAAGTGTACCACAGTACACTGAATGAGAATTATACTAGCTTTGTAAACTCAAATAGCATATTTTTAGTTTATGTTGGGTTTTTTCCCTCTGCCAAATACTTGGGACTTAGCAGTTCCATAGTTTTGGCCTTATAATCATATGAATGTATACCCAGCATTACAAATCCTTTTTTATATCCTTACTTTAAAACATGCTGGTCTTATTTCTTCTGCTAAAACCAGTTATATGTCGTTAGAGATTTAAGTCATCTTTTACTCCCTGCCTTTTTCAGGCTTTCTCACAATGTTCCTTTCTTCCTTAAGAATGTGTTGAATTTTCATACAGCAGAAGAAATCAATTTCAGCTCTCCTTTTCCGCCTTTTGTTCCTCCTCTCTCTAGCAACACTGAGTTTTATTTGCCAGACTAAAAGACAAGCTGACATTCTTATTAAGACTAAGTAGCAAAATGGTACTGATTTTCTTTCTTTCAGATCTCTATAAAAATGGTCTTCAGAGAGCTAATTTTGTACCATTCATTGCTGTGCTGAAGGTAAGGAGAGTCACTTGTTAAATGCTTTCCAATTTTGCCTGCTGTATTAATAAATTAGAGATTTGTACAGGATTGCTTTGATACTAGTTTCCAGATAAGATGTATAAGCTTTAACTGTTTGGGGCAAAAATAATTCAAGGTAGGGCAAAAAGGAGCTCTTTCTCTATAGAATTAACATGTCTTGAAAGCTGGACATTTTTAGTATGACAGAAAGTTACCTTTTTGACCAAGGTAGCAGAATTTGTTTGGATAAGACTTTCTTACTGGTGTGTATATGCCATGTAACGTGGTATTCCTCTAACAGTTATACTGTAGTGTACTTGTGGGCATCTTACACTTACTATGCTACAAAAACTTGGTGTTCCTTTGGTGTAAGGAAAGTAGCGTTCTGTATGTACCCCTCAATTACCTTGTTTCTGGGTCTTTCTCGTGTGTAAGTGGTTTTCTGAATGGGTATTTGAGGCTTCACGTAACGTTCAACAAGCAGCAGTTCTGAAGCAAGCTTCCTGGAGTTTGCATGTTGTGGTGCGGCAGGCTGTAAACTGTAATTGCTTCATTTAGGTTAAAAAATGGAGCATCCTTTCTTGATGTGAATAATACAGTCAGTGCTTATTTTGCTATTAAAAATGTGAGTTCACCATATGTTCTTTTTAAGTTCTGGCCAAGTTGCGTTTAATTCACAAGCTACGGTTGTATTGTTACGTTATTGAGGGCTAGCATATAGCTCCTGTGTCCTGCTCTGTCTGGATTGACGTGACATGTAAAATGGAAATAACAGCACTTCCCTACCTCACAGAAGTATTGCCAGCGTAAATATATACATAATGTTAAATATATCAATATCTAAGATAAAAGAAAGGTAAGGTAGAGTTTAGGGTAGGTTGGGCTTAGTTAAATCCTAAGATGGCTCAATTGCCTAAGCATCTTTGAAAATCCCATCTAATGTTGACATTTGAGCAGCTACCAGGTTTACTGAGTTAATATGCCATTGACATGTATGCAGCACTCCTATGTATCTCAGAATGGCTGTGTATGAAGTCAGGGAGGTCACCAGTGAAAGTAGTTTTTACCTGGATGGCTTTAGAGAAGTAAGAAACATAAAAATAACTGAACAACCACTTCCACTTCAGATTCTTGAAAAGGGTTTATTCTGTAGCTGACTTCACTGAATGCAGGGAGAGGTCCTGATCATAGAGCATTTTGAAGAACAGTAGTAGTTTCATATGCATTTGCTTTTTGAAATGCAGCAACCATGGCAAACCTTTCTTTTCTATATATCTTTCCTTGTTGACTCTTAGTTTTCTTCCTTGATAAATGTAAGGCTCTTTCATTTCACTTATGATCAGACTTAAAGAATATCTCTCATGTATGCTTATTTGTAGTTTCCTTTTTTCTCTTTTTGGCTAGCTGAAGAAAAAAAGTGAAATGTAGTTTATGCATACAGAACGCCTCATCAAGACTGGGAAAATAATCTAAATTTTTACAAGGGACCTTGTAGATAGAATGCTGAGAGAAACTCTGAAGGTGAATTGGTTTAGAGCTGTGACAGGGGATAGAGCAGTGCAAAAAGAAACAAGTAGCACAACCCAGACTAGAGGTAGATGGACATTGCCATAATAATGAATGAAGGGAGAAAAAACTCAACGCTCTATTCACAAGGGCCTTTCTAAAATTCTTGACTACGTGTTGTCGTTCTTTCCCCTACATTTTTGTGTTTTAACACTGCTCTAAATGTATCTGCCTTTAATGTTATTTTAATAAATGTAACCAATATAACATAATTCTTTCCCCAAAACGTAATGCCTGAAAGATGGATCGGAGGAAACTTATCAACAAATGCTTCTCTGACCTTAGTTGGAAAATGGAAGGGCAATGGCAAGGTATTAAAAACAATAATAAAAAAATTTCCAAATCTGCATTTTGAATTTACCACATCAGAAGTAGGCATTAAAAAACCCACACTGGAATGTATTTTAAAGTAAGATTTTTAACAAGTGACCTTTACATTACAAAGGTGTGGATAGAACTAAATTGATTCTCTGGCTCTGGTAGTTTGAGAAATGTATTTTTATGTCTCCCCAATGTGAGTATAATCTGTATCATGGCATTGGTGTTAATGGATTGGAGTAGCTTCTGCCTCAGCTGTTTATAATTCTGTATATGACTTTAGGAAATGTAAAGATGATAACTTCCAGGGTTTTGCATGGAAATATAAAGGAAAAATATTACATCGGATGCTTGCAGATGTTTGATTTACTGTCTTCTCTGCCTTTACCTCACTCCAAGCCATATGTGTCTGTGGTAGTGGCAGTCTCATCTAACCTGTTCCCTGGTGGTGGCTTTGACAACTTGGACTAAATCCTGTCACAGTTTTCTCTAGGCTCAGAGCCTCCTGCAGGGCTTTTATTTGGAGTTTAGTCGTGGTGAATGGGTGGGTTGGTTTTGTTTGTTTGATTCAGAAATTAACTTTTATGATCGTAAATCTTTAAAATAAGGCTTTAGCACTAAAAGTAGTTCAAGTTCAACACAGGACCTTTGAATTCCTTTAAATATTCTTGGGAAGATGGGGTGAATGGGAAGTATTAACAGTACATTTCTGTGAAGAGATACTTCACTTGAAATAGATTTCAGGCTGTTTCCATTCCTCATAAATGGAACACATAGTTCCTAGATACCCTGGTAACTGTTACACAAAAATCTTTCCCTGTCTTCAAATGATCAAAAGAAATGGTTTCTTTCCTGGATCTAGCATTAGCCATGTCCATCCTCGATTTTGTTGTTGTTTTTATTTTCTTCAGCCTATGTAATTCCAGTATCTGTATTTGGGTTCATATTTCTTACAAAGATAACTACAATCCCATTTCTGTGGAATAAGCAAAAAGGTGAAACAGTGCTCTGGGGAAGACACAGTTATCTCGCGAAGTTTGTCTGTATTGCTTTTCCAGGTGGTAGATTACAGGGGACAAGTGATTGCTGAGTGCCTGCAGTGGGAGATGCAGTTGGTGAGTTCCACTTTCTGGGGCCACGTAAAAGCTCCAGGTCTGTGTAGTTGGGCAGGCCAGTAAGACAGCAGCTCTTCCTGCCCTGTGTGTGTCCCCTGCCCAATTCTGAACCTATCCCAGTAAGTAGTTTGAGATGTAATTTTTCAGTGATTCTTTAGTCCTCTAACTTAAAGTGGTAGTTTGGATAAACAGGGAAGAACTCTCAATTGATCGGTTAGTTTTTGTGGCTGAAATTTTTTGGGACGCAATATTCTTTATGGCAGGGCTTTGTTTCTGCAACAGATAAGAGTGCTTCTTCAGTCCATGAAATTTTATAAAGATAGAGCTTTACAGAGATAAGAAGTATTAGGAAGGAAAATCTTTTAATTCTATAATTGCAGTTAGATTCAGTTCCTTCTGATTGAGCTTTTAATCTTGTGGCATCTCTTACCAAGCATTTTAAAGTGCATGGAACGCCTAAGTGGTTTGTTGTTGGGTTTTTTGGTGTTTTGGTTTGGTTTTTTTTTTTGGCAAAGGCAGTTCTTGAAAAGAAAAACATTCATTGCTCACAGTTACTTTGTTCAAATGTTTAGAGCAGAAATACTCAAAAAATTGTTAATCTAAACCAATAAGAAATATAAAAATTTTCTAAACATTTTAAAACTGGTTTACAAATGAAGCTATCTATCTTTAACAACTTGATGTAAGATCTGAAGTTAGGCTCTTAAAAAAAAAAAGAGAAAGCACACTTTGTTTTACTGGTTTGGCAGTAATTTTAGCAACATTTTACTTTTTGCAGACATTTAATGAAGACATTTATATCAACCCTTAACTGTTCTGGAATCCTAATTCTAATTCAGTGACTAGTTCAATGCTTAATTGTTCAGACAAACAGGAAGGAAAGCACCTCAAATAGTTTGTTGTGTATAATCTATAACTTCAATGAGCAGTTCTTGAGTTTCCAAAGGTTTCCTGGAACCATAGCGTGAAGTTTTAAAAAGTCAAGGCAAGTCAAAATACCAAATATGTAACGTCTGCATTTTCTCAGGTTTTCTTCTTGCAGTGGACCTGCACTGCAGTAAATTCTGACTGAAAGTCAGGAGGTTTTAGGGCTTTTCATAGCCTGAGTATACCTTTAAAAGGTACAGTTTTAAAATAAAATGTTTGGCTTTGGCTACCTGCATTTTGCTTTAACTAAAGAGAAAGAATCAACCAGAAGCCTGTTGTCAGTAGGACATGAAATTACTGTAAGCTTCCTATAGTGAACTGTTTTTTTCTTCTGCTATTAGGGACCAATTGTACACTCCTCTCAAATAGAAAGCAATGTATTTTTATACGCTGTATTGTTCACTGTCTTTCTCAAAATTGGTTGATATTTATTTATTGACATTGTTGCCTACTCTGGTTGGTTTTAATTAAAATATACTCTTTCTTTCAAAGCAAGAAATGGAGGAATTTAAAAGTATTTTCATTTTTCAATAACTTAGTTTGAATATGTGAGAAATATTTGTTTAAAACATTTAGAGCTGTCCCTAAGGAAATTGTGGGGGTTAGTTTTGTACAAAGGCATCTGGTAGATATAAAATGTCTTTGATGGTGCACTCGGCTTTTGTCCAACCACCTGTGTGAGAAATGCAGAGATTTGTTGATTGGCGGGTCTGCCTCTACCCGCCCCCCCAAAGTCATCTCCTTGATGAAATTGATTTGTCAGTTTGTTCCAGTCTAATGGTGTGATAGCCCAGCAGCTTTCAGTATGTTGAATAGTTAAAACCTGCTTTTGAGGTCAGTGTCAGCCACTCTGACCCCTGTGAACTGTCACCTGAGTCAGAATTGCAGGGATTAGGCCTTTGATATTGTGATGGCTTTGCCTATCAATTGACTTTTTCATTACTGAAGATGTTGGGCCTTTTGTTTCCCTTCTTAGTATGTAACCAAGCAAACTCCTAAGTAGAAGGAGCATTTGTTCTTGTTCTCTCTCTCTGCAAGTAATAGAAGTACTCATCTTTTGTGAAGCATACC